TTTCACTGAGGTTTGGTTTTAAAGAGGTGTTCTGTTTGGACAGTGGGAGGAGGGAGGTGACAGGAGCAGTCCTGGCAAGGCTGCCAGGGGCTCCCTGTGTGGGTTGGGGCAAGGGAGGCTGTGGCTCAGCAAAGCAGAGCCCCCCCCAACCAGCTGGGAGAGGCTCCTGCACCCAGGCTGAGGAGTTTGAGTGAGCCAGGCAGTGGCTGCAGAGCCAGCAATTCTAGATTCCTGCAGATGCAAAGTGCCAGGAAGGCGGCAGTCCTGTAGGGCAGAACAGAGCCTCCTGGCACTCCCAGCTGGGGTAACAGAGTAAGGCAACCATGGGCAACTGGCGGGCTGCATGCGGCATATCAGGGTTCTCTGTGGGTTGCCACATTCCGCCGGTTTCCTACCAGTATTACTAACGTGATGCGGGCGGGCTGACTGCACACAGCACTGACTATGAGCCAGGCGCTCCCTCTGCAGCCAATCCCAGCACTGCGACGGTGCCATGGGCACACCCTGCAGAGTCTAAGCGCGCAAGCGTAGTGAGCAAAACTGCCCTGTTCCGGGAGAGCGTCTTGGTTAGGACTATCTGAGATGGATGCCTCTCCTGAAGCCCACTCTCCAGCCTCGGTTGTCCATCGCTGGAGAAAGGGATGTGACAGTAAGGCTGCAGGACAGAGGGCTCCCTGCTCTGCCCAGGAGCTGTGCAACCTCCCCTGCACCTGAGAAGTCCCCCCAGTCCTTTCTGCTGTCCTGGCCAGGGCTCTTCTCTGCCCTGCCAGGACCCAGGATTGCAACCTTCCCTGGCACCCTGGGCCGGCAGGGAGCCCTCTGCAGCTCAGCCACTCCCATAGAGAAGGGTTAGAGAGCTCTCTTGGGGGGTGGGGGGAGGGTGCACTGTGACCCCCGATCCTTTTTGCTAGCTACGCCACTGAAATTGACATCTACAGACGCATCTTGCTGACAAGGGAACCTGGCTAAAACTGACTATTGCTTTGCTCTGCTGCAAGCTTGAGTATTGCTGGTGGCAGGAAGGGTGGCAGCATGTGATGTGGAGAGGTGAGAGACAGGAGACAGGCCTGGGCTGTTCATACACCAAGCACGGTGGGGAAATGGGCCTGGTGCCAAGGGTCAGCACGCCACCTGAGCCCTGCCCGTGATGCTGTGCAAGGGGCACAGCGGCTTCATCTAGGGGCCTTTGGTTGTGCTGTGTATACCAGTATTTCTCAACCAGTGGTACAAGTATCCTCAGGGGTAATCAAGAGAAGTCTGGGGGGGTACATCAACACAACTGAAATTTGGAGAAAACTGAATTTTTATTTGAAGTTTTACAGCGCTTTATTATTTTTGTACTTTTTACACCCAAAAATTTCATCGCCCGCCTGGCTCCGATTAAGTTGTTTAAACAACGGTGTTGCAATGGTAGAAAAAAATTTTGCATCTGAAATTGTAGGTATTGGGGGTACTTTAAAAAAAAAAAAAAAAGATTGAGAAACACTGGCCTTTTTAGAATAGGCCAGCATGAAGGGGGAGACGTTGGTGGGGAACCTTGTTTGGGTCAGGGCCGCTGACCCCAGGAAAATCAGTTGGGGACCACACTGAAAAGCAAAAACAAACCAACCCTGCCTGACGTGGTGCTCACTGACTGAGGAGAAAGCCACTCCTCAAAGTCCCTCCCCACAGCAGAGCCATGGGGGGCCCAGGCTAACAGACTGTGTGTGCACCAGCCTAGCGGGGACCTGGCATACCAGCGCAGGAACCCCAATGCTTGAAGGGAGCCCTGAGCTTCAGGGGCTGAATCCAAACATGCCAGCATCCGCATCTGGCTCCCGAGCCTTAGGTTCCCCACCACCGCTTTAGAGCAAGCCCAAGAGACGGTCCATAGGATCTGTGATGACCTAGCATCAGGAGCAGACACCGGGTTTGAGCAATAGGCTGGGGTGGCAGCTGTGAATGGCTTTTCCATAGGCGGGGCGTTTTGCTTTAAGAAGCTGCAACACCGGCGCATTCTGGGCCGGCCAAGGTCAGCAGTCTGCAGCTAAGCATTGTGTTACACGTGCAGTGAAACTGAAAATCAGTCTGTTTACATGGTCGCTGCGATGCCAGGGCTGGCTCTTGCAGTTCCTTGGAATGCACGACAGCCCGTTTGATTGCTTCACGAGCACGGCTTGTTCTTTCTTCCTGTGCTGACTCAGCTTTCTGAGAGCTGAGAGAAAATGGCCAGGGCTTTTTTAATTACTCACACTGTGCAAGCACCTTTCATGCCCAAGCCTATAATTATAGGGGAGAGGATTTAGCATCAGAAAAGAATGTGTGCAAGCACCTTTCATGCCCAAGCCTATAATTATAGGGGGGAGGATTTAGCATCAGAAAAGAATAGCCACACACACTCACTCACTCACTCTTTCTAATTTAGCCTCTTATTGAATGCATTAGCCTGCCGATCTGTGTGATTCCATTAGTTGCACCAGATGTTCCAAATTCAAACCGGGTCTGTGTACACCATTTTGAGATTATGAATAGTGATAGGCTTCAAGGCCAGAAGTGACCTGTTAGAGGGGGGCCGGTCCTTTAATAACTAAATCAGCTGTTGCTCAGTTTGTTGAGAGCAAGGGTGGGAAGCAGTGTTCCCTGTAAGCTGAGTTCTTGTGCGGCCGCTCAGGAGAGATTCAGGTGCCACCCAGCAGGTTAGCAGAGCTCTCTCACCTAGGTTTTGTGTTTTTTCTGGTGGTTCACATTCGCACAGGCCTTGCTGCACATACATTTTATGTACCTGGATGGAAAAAATGCACACCTGGACAGAAAAGATTAGAGGGAACACTGGTTAGGTGACAACTTGAAGATCGCTTGGCACCTGCAAAAACCAGCAAGTGGTTGTGCTGGAAAGCTGTGGGCAGATCAGCTCCTGGAGGAGAGACTGGAATGTGAGGAAAGAATCCTCCACGCAGCTTTTGAGGACTAGGGAAGATTTTCCAAGGACAAACTTACAGAGCTGGCCAAGGAAAGACGCTCATCTTGACTCCCAGGTAGAGGGCCTGCAGGATGCAATCCAGTGTGGAGTTGGTGGTACCTCCCAAAAGACTCCAGTTCAGAGAGAAGGGACACAACTGAAATCTTGGACAGTTTCATTTCAAAGACCTAAATGGGAAGCTGTGAAGAACAGGGTACACCCAACACCCTTTTGACTCCTTGCGTAACACAGCTCACACATTTTCATGCAGATTCTTGCACCACAGGTGAAGTAGAGCATTTCTTAAAGATGGAGAATCCCTGCCCCCTTGGGTAGCATGGCATATTCCTGCATTCTGAACAGCCTGGGCCTCCCTGGAGGCTAATTTCTACTTCTGACTAGGGGCTCCCTTTAGATGCGAAATGGAGTTTGCCATGTAAAATGCAGCAGCTCACTGACAGATGGGAAATTCAAACTGGCCCCTAGTTTTTGGTTCTTGCAGAGCTTGCGAGCTGCAGGCTGTCGTGCTGATCAGGCATGTGGGGCTTAGCTGGTTCTACATAAGCCTGTGGAATCCATTCAGAGAGCTGGAATCTGACCACCCTACAGTAAAGAGTAGTCTGAGGGAACAGGAGCAGATGGGTCCCCCTTCTCCTGATCCACTTTCCACTCCCCTCTAACTGCTCTCAGAGGCCTAGGTTACAGGGTAGACTCCATGCTCCAGCGTACGGAATGGTTCGGTCCCTCTTCAGGTGTGAAGGAGGGGACCTTGGAAAAGGGGAGCCCCATGTCAACAGGATACGCTGTCTGCTCAGAGCACAAAGGACCTGTTGTGAGTGCTTCAAGTGTTTTCCTTTCCCCCATTGTTGAAAGATCTAGTCCCTTGCAGGGCAGATAAATTCCAGCTCCCCTGCTTAGGGCTACAGGAGAGGTTTCTGAAGACAAATGACAATACGTTAAGTGTAAAATGTCAAAGCAAACTCTATGCTGAGAAACACTGGTGCTGAATTTCACTCTACAACTTTCGCTGAGGAAGGGGAACATGTCTAGTGTCAGTGTCTGGCACTGTGGGATATATTCTAATTCATCAGAAGGGAAAAGCTGCATGCATTGTCCTCTAGAAGCCTCATCTTAGAAAGGACGACTAGCTACTGCAAACTGTTTCTTCAGGAACTCGGCGAAAGCTGCCTGGCACAAAAGCAATGTGAGATGGAATCACTTATCTTTGTGTGCACTCTGGATACACCAGCTGTATTTGTGCCTAGCAGCAAACCTAAAAACGTATTGCTGTCAGCCAGGCAGCTGTGGTTCAGTTCCCAGTTTGTTTCTCACCCAGTGAGCAGGCCTCTGGAACAACTCAGCCCACCTGCTGTTAATGCAGAAGCCAATTCCCACCCTCCTGCCCGCTTACTCTTTCGTTCAGGTAATTTTCTTTAATAAATAGTTCATTAGATATTCTGCACCAGTTAACAGCAGAATTTGGATTATCAGATGAGTGAGTTGTTTATAAGTAGCCTGAACTGCTTGGCTGTGTCTAGACTGGCAAGTTTTTCCGCAAAAGCAATTGCTTTTGCGGAAAAACTTTTCAGCTATCTACACTGGCCACTTGAATTTCCGCAAGAACACTGATGGTCTCATGTAAGAAATCAGTGCTTCTTGCGGAAATACTACGCTGCTCCCGTTTGGGCAAAAGGGCCAGTGTAGACATCTCAGATTTGTTTTGCGTAAAAAAGCCCCGATCACGAAAATGGCGATCGGGGCTTTTTTGCGCAAAAGCGCGTCTAGATTGGCACAGACGCTTTCCCACAAAAAGTGCTTTTGCGGAAAAGCATCCGTGCCAATCTAGACGCTCTGTTCCGAAAATGCTTTTAATAGAAAACTTTTCCGTTAAAAGCATTTGCGGAAAATCATGCCAGTCTAGACACAGCCGTTCAGTGTAGCTGATCAGAACTACTTGAGGTGAGGAGATCAATGCAAGCTATGCCAACAAATAATGCAATGGACTTCCATGGCCTTATGTCCAGTAAAGCCATCTGAAATGCAGCAGCAAACAAACCATGAGACAGAGTACCAAACTATATTTACTGTATACAGTAGTAAAGGACGACAAATAATGTACAAATTGGTGAATAAACTATGAGCTCTAACAGAACACCCCACCCTAGCCCATATACAATAACGCGAAAAAGAAAATAAGGACTTTTCCCAGCAAGATTTCAAGCAGAGATGATCTAATGTTGTCTGATTGGTCAGGTAAATATAAAAGGCAGATAATGACCTAATCAAGCAGCACTGGACAACCTACTGAAGGACAATAGGATGACCTTTAAGTTTCATTTGGAGTATAGCCCAAAACGTCATACAGAACTGAAAGTCACCACACGAATGCATTTAAAATTCAATACATGAGAAGCAGCAGAGCAGGAATTTCTCAGAAGAACCCTAAGTTACCTGTTCAAGGTTTTTGTGCTTACGCCCCTTGGCCACAAGCTTAGGGGGTTTGGTTTGTTTTACGTAAGACCACAATTATCCATAAGAGACATGTATTGAAAGAAACCAGAAGCCACGCATTTCCTAGTACCAAATGAGTAATAATGATACAACGTCGAGGTTTGTATTAAAGGGGATGAGAGGGACGTGTAGACAATTTTTTGTCCATCTCGTAAATTGGCAGTGAGCTGTGGCAATGGCCTTTTCTTTTTAATCTTATGGAACATGATACACCAGTAGGTTGGGACCAGTATTCTGGTAATAACTCAAATGCTGACACTAATTGTGGGCAATTATTTCACTTTTAAAAAAATTTAAATTTCAATCTAGCCGATTATAACAAAGCACATGTACATTTGCAATATTTTAAGCATTTACTCTATCCTACGCCTCATATCTGCATGTACAGTCCTTGTATCATAGGTTTTAAGTTTTACAGTAATAACGGTTTACAACAATAGTAAAAACTTTTAAATCAATAACCTTTTCTTCCCTTCACGTGCCTTATCGGAGGAGGAGATTTTAAACTCACTGCTTCAGTGAGAATATATTTACATGATTAGAATTATGCAATGGGGCAATACGATAACAAGAGCCAAGCATGAACAAGAGCCTGTGTTCCGGAATACAAGGAGATACTTAGGCCACATGTTTACATAAACAAGGTAACGGCAGACAGATAACCCATCTTTTGCTTAAACTGAAAAGTTAATTCCTTTGGGCCCAATTTAAGATGTAGGTTAATCCCTGCCGATACAGTTTTGACTTGCACACGCAGTATGTCAGAGGGACAGCAGAACAATTTTGGTAAATGTCCTCTAAAGTTTTAGAAGAATCCCGTGTGATTGGCATGTTCATTAATTACTATTTAATAGCAAATCCAAGGACAGATGAGAAAGTGAGGTGTTGACAAGGGTCTTAATTCCTCTTCCCAAAAGGACAGCATGTTTAACATACTCCACCTGTCTGCTGTTGGAACACATCAATAGTATCTTCGTCTTCCATCTCCAGCTGTTGGATTAATACACAAATGTTTTAATAGACAGACAGTCGTACATTTTAAAAGGACAATTTGTTCTTGCACTGTTAAGAGTGTTACTCCTTAAGAAACAATATATACATTTAAAACTTTAATGCTTTGAAAATTCCCCTCTTCACCCAATTAGAAAGCAACATCACCCTCTCCCCACAGTCTCTTCCCAGCACCGGTCATAGGTTGTCTTGGTTTCCCTTCAGCTAAGGCCTGCCAGGCTGACTGGCGCTGCGTGTTGGAGAACAGACAATAAAGCGGGGTCTAAGATCCAAGGTACTAAGTGCTTCGTGTCAGTCTATGCTTTTCCTTTTGTCTCAACCGTCATCAGATTGTTCCTGCTTGACAAGGTACAATTCTGGTCCTCCATTCATCCCCCTGTTCCCCACAGTTTCATGCCTTGTCTACACTTACAAATTAGACCAACCTAACTTTGTTTCTCAGGGAAGTGGAAATTTCAGGTCCTGAGAACCATAGCTAGGTCAATAGAATGATAATTCCATCAGTCTAGTGGACTGCCTCTCAGAGATGAATCACCTCCATCAACAGAGAAACCCTTTCTGTCAACATCGGGAGCATCTACAGTGTTAGAAGCAAGCTGAAGCACCATAGCTATGCCACTGTAGTGTAAGCATACCTAGTATACTTCCAAGAATTGTGGGACAAGATTCTCTGCTATGCAGCATAAAAATGGCCAGACTGGGTCAGACTAAAGGTCTATCTAGCCCAGTGTCCTGTCTTCCAACAGTGACCAGTGCCAGGTGCCTCAAGGGGAATGAACAGAACAGGGAATCATCAAATGAACCATCCCGTTGCCCATTCTCAGCTTCTGGCAACCAGAGGCCAGGTACACCATTCCTACTCATCCTAGCTAATCACCAATGATGGACCTAACATCCATGAATTTATCTAGCTCTTTTTTGAACTCTGTAATAGTCCTGGACCTCACAACATCCTCTGGCAAGGAGTTCCACAGGTTGATTGTGCATTGCTGAAGAAGTATTTCCTTTTGTTTTAAACCTGCTACCTGTTTATATAAGAACATCTTCCTCTCTTACTGCTAAATGTGTGGTTTCTGTTCATTTAATCTACAGATCTCCCGAAACTTGCAAATGAAACTCTTCATCCACTCCCAGCCAACTTCTGCAGCAGTGCACTTTGAATTACTGTGCAGTTCAATTTATTGTCTGAACAGCGAGGGCCTGGAACTCAACTCAAAAGGCCAGATGGTGAATTCTTTTACTTATGTGAGTTACTGCTCACCACTGTGAACAGTTCTTCACTAGAGTAGTTCAATTAGTTCCATGGGATTGCCCTGTGGGCACAAAAAAGTTGGTCTTTTCAGGAAGCCATTCTGAAGTACACTCCAATCAGCTGCAGTCAGGGTGTTCCTTTTCAGCCCAGATCATATCATTTCTCTTACAGTTTTTACGTCCAATTACAAAATAGCTGTACAGGGCATGCCCAGTCAGAACAAAGCAGTTTGGTCAATGATTTGTTGTTCTCTCTCAACCCCACAGGAGGCTTCATTAGTCCAATCCACACCATCCAGAATACATCCAGGCTTTGCTTCTGGTATTCCCCACCACAGGCCTTGTCCACACCAGGAATTTTCCTCCCTGAAATTTATCAATATTCCCAATAGGGATGTTAAATTTCGATTAACTAATCGAATAGTCGATGGGATTCCATCGACTATTCCATTAGTCGATAAGGACTAGCTGTTCTGCCTTTTACATTTCAAAGAGCCCCAGCGGGGACTGTTGTACATTTCAAAGTTGGAATGCCGCTGCTGAGCCCCTGCCGCCTCCCACAGAGCTGAAGCTAGGGGGAACCGGCTTTTAAGCCAGCTCTCCCCAGCACCCCCTTTTCTTCATACCCCTTGCTGCCTTTGTGACACAGGCAGCAAGGCGGGTAGTGACTAGTCGACTAGTATGTCAACTATCCAATAAACTTTTGCTTATCAGATAGTCAACTAGTCGATTACATCCCCAATTCCCCTTACTGACTGGGTTTAAGCAGAGGCAGAAATGGTGGTGACACTAGTGTACACAAGGCACCAGCATCCATCATCATTTTAATCATGGTAGTGTCTAGACCAGTGATTCTCAAACTAGGGTCTGCAAACAAGAGTACTCCAGGGAGTCCGCCAGCCCCACTGATCAATCTCTTCTCTCCCTTCTAGGGCCTTTTGCACACCCGCACTGGGAGGGTGGGGGAGAGGCCAGCACACGGTGTGGTCAGGGGAGAGAAGAGGAGGGGCGAGAATGGAGTGTGGGGGGTTGCGGGAAAGGGGTGGAGTGGGGGCTGGACCTGGGGCTGAGCAGGGAACTTGGGGGGTTGGGTCTGAAGAATTTTAAATCAAAATGAGGGTCCTTGGGTTGCTAAAGTTTGAGAAGCACTGGTCTAGGCCTTCTGTGAGCATGATTAGGAAGACAATCCTTAAAACTGGCAGATATTTGGACAGAGCCATGTCTACACTAGGACTCACTCTCGCTAACTGGGTCAAGCTCTATAAATGCTAGCAACTCTGGGAAATTTGAAAAGAAAAAGGAATCTTACTGCTCATTTTGGGAACTCCAAGGCCTGTGAGAGAGAGTTTGCCATCAAAATGCCCCCTAAAAGAGTTGTCTCTTAAGTGCAGGTATCTAAAAATATAGCTCTGCTACAGTTATTACAACATATTTTCGTACCTGTGCGGGCGTGTCAGTTTCATTAATTGGTTGTCCATCAAATCTGAATCTAATCTGTCTCATTGACAAACCCTGGAAGTTAAAGTGGTTAACATGAGATACGGAGTCCAAATAAATTTACTGATTAGGAGTAAGTATTTGCTATAACGTGTTTTAAAAAAATCCAGATTCAGAAAATTTGAAATGTGAGGGGATTGTGACATTGTGACACACGTGTCACAATGTGTCACAATGTACACATTGACCCAGATGTCAAAATTCTAATTTAGTGCCTGCCCTGGAATATTGGGCTATCTGAGCAGGACATCCACAGAAGAATCTCAGCATTACAAACCAATCAGTCAACCACCCACCTTATTTGGAACTGGAAGTACACAATCTGGCAGCAGTAAAGGGGAAAAAACCACCACCACCTAACCTCCCCCAACAAATACAGTAAAATACTGATAGAGAGGCAGCAGCGTGGGGTGGCAGCAGACCCTGTCCGGGCAGGGAGGGAGGGGACTGAGCTCCTGGATCCAGCATGAGCCAGAACTGAGCCAGGCTGCCTGCCTGCCTAGCTCCTAATACACTTTAAATGCAGAGCAGCAGCGGGGTTTGGTCCCCTGAGCCAGAGCTGCTGGCCAGCCTGCTAAAAAATATACGGGGGGGGGGGGGGGGGGGGGAAATGCATGTAATATATAGCATATATAATCAACTACACTATTACTTGTATTTAGGGATGTAAGGAAGACGGGGAAGCCAGGGGAGAATACCAAAAGCAGGGGTTAAAAATAAACTTAAGTAAAGAGATGCCAAGTGCTGAGGTGGACAAGACAACTTCAGCCACTGCCCAAAAACTGAAGCAGAAAATTTTCTGTCAAATCGTATCTGAAGTCTTGGATACTCACTCAAAAGACATCAGATTCTACTTCAACCCAGGCACCAACTCCAGTACCCTAGCTCTCAAAAACCAGGGAAACATCAAGTAGTAGTTACTTTGACAAAGCCTTTCAGGAAGGCTTTCTACAGACTTCCACACAAAAAAACAACATAAAAAATGTTAAGGTTGCAAAGACAAGTACTTAAAAGTTAGACAATGCCAAAAGTATGTTTGCCCATTCTAACTTAATTCTGCCCTACCGGGCCTATGCCTTCAGTTATCTTATCACATGCTATTTTTCCCCAGGACCTCTGCTTCATTCAGTTTGCAGATCTTTAAAAATGGTTCTGCCCTCTAAAATCTGTTGGAGCTCTTGGTTTATACAGACACTTCTGAACAACCACAGCAAGATACAAACTGTCCCATGTGATTCCAAGAGAACGTGCTCATTATACATTTAGCCCTGTGTTTTCCAACCTCAGAGGTTAGGGGATGTGATATGGGGCAGAGGAGAAGATCTGTGTCGATGAGTAAAAGCAGAAGGACCCTAAATAGCTCCCCAGCAAATATGTTGCTTTGTCAGTAGGTAAAGCTGCATACTGCTTCCTGAAAGCCATTCACGTTCCTTCCCTTCTCCCACTGTGGCCTGTAACAGCTGGCTATGGGAGTATCTCCTATGTACATGGTGCAGGCTCAGGACCCAGGCCATCAGCTTAAGCCACTCTTCTGCTTAGCCTTGGATGGCACCAAGGTATGCCCCTTGCACCTGGCAGGATACAGCTGTCTGTTGAGTGGGGGAAGGAAGAGCAATGCAGGGTGATGGGGAGACAGAAAAAACATAAAGAGGAAAAAGAACAAAACTGAAAAGACCAACAGCAACTTTTCATCTTGAAAACACTCTGCAAACGGCTTAACCCTCACCCCACACCTTCAGATGGATAAAGGATTTTGTATACGTTATAACTGAGGTTAAGAGCTCTAAAGGAACAGAGGGAATTAGCAGCAGAGCTGGGATTAGAGTTCAGAAGTTCTTGGCCCCGAGTACCAAATTTAGAGAACCAGAAGTTCTGGATGAGGAGAAAATCATTTTGATTGAATTATAAATGAAACCAAATTTTTGAACCTGAGAGAAAGTTAGGCCCCAAAATCCATATTTTACCAAATTTCCATATAATGGGGTTTATTCATTCTCTGGTGCATTGATATTTACATACATTTTATGAAAAGAAGAAACATTTCCATAATGCCAAGGTCTCTCATAAGATAAGTCATCCTACTGACTACCAGACACTGTGATGAACTGACCAAAACATATAAAAGGTATGTTAAACATACATACCTGTCTCTCACAATAAGCCTTCATTAGTTTGCTTAGGGGTGTATGCCGTTTTATTTTGAACTGCACCACTGATCCATCCTGGCCAGCTACTTTAAGATTGATATGGTCATTCTCGGTTTTTACTCCTTCCTGCAAAAGAAAATGCAAAGATGGACATCACTACCTACAAATACAAGTTATCCTAAGCATCTGTAAAACACTGATAATACAGTAGCAAACTCTTGCAAAACAAAAGCATTCCTTCCTACGTATAAAGGTTGGATGTCCTCCACAGAACAAAGAGAAAACCTCCTAAGTTTTGTGTTTGCCTCTAAGGCTCCCAGAGGAAAAGTTTTTGTAAAAGCAAGAAACTTTCAAACCAATTATTAAAAACTGAACAAATTCCAACATTTTCATCTGCAAACTCAGACCATCCCGAGCAGAAGTTAGTAGATTATTTATCCTCAATGGCAAAAGGCAAAGTTCACACAGAGTTAAGGATGCTTGATGGTATGCTACGCAGGACACGGAGTTGAGAAAACCAAGAAATACACAGTTACAGTTGCATTGGCCATCTTAGCTCTGCTCTCTTTCAGTAATGCCCCATTAACAACCTACTTTTACTCTGCAAACCCCAGAGTTGCTGAAATGCATGAGGTCTTCGCCTCCTTTTACAACCCATTTACTCTCACCCGCAGAATTCCAACTACTCCTGTTAAAAGACCAAAAAAAATTGTCCCAGCCCTTGGCTTTTCCCCACCTGATACAAAGAATGTTTGGTTAGACTGGCTTCTGACTATCCAGCTGTGACAAACATGTTATAACACAGACAACTTCTAGCAAGCAACAGGAGTTATTGAATGTTTATTGCACGGGTGCACAAAGGTGCAGCCTAGAAATGGGAGCAGTGAGGTACTCACCCAAGGCAATAGCACTGGCATGTTCTCTCAACCTACCGAGGCAAGCATGAGTAGTTGCACAAAGCCCCCCTTGGTTTTGTTCTTTACTGGTGCGCACACTGTGCTCCTACCAGTTTGCAATTCCATGCAAGCCAAGAAGTGAGCATGCGCTTAAACACGGTTCACAACTTGCATCCCCCAAAGACTCAGTGAATGAACTGAATATCCCTCAAGGATAGACACCATGTTTAACAATAGGACAATGCGTTATGGGAGCCTGCATGTCCCAGTCTAGACCAAGGGATAGTTCTCACATAAACATCATGTAAAGACCTTTCCCCCTGCAACAGCACCAGGCTTGGCACAAGTTGGGGCGAGGTTTGGTAGAAATGATCAATGTTAATCATGGTGGCGCTGCAAGAGCCGCATTGCACTATTGGGTAGCACTGGATCCCAGCAGGAGCACTGTGCAGGAAGCGCTGTTGTCCTTGCGGGGCACAACAGTAACCCGCAGCCAGGACTACAAGGACAACAAGTTCCCAGCCACAGAGGAAGCCACCCTGCTGTTGAACTTCCTGCCTGGTAGGCCCCCAACCAGTGAGTGAGCTGGGCTGTGACAACAGGGTTGCAGCGGGCTCCCTGTGCAGCCATGGGAACAGTGATGCAGATCCTTTGCAAATAGTGCAGAGAGGCCAACAGGGTTTTTTTCCATCAATTTCAGCATGTGAGGCAAAAATCAACTTTCACTGAGAACTAGCCATTTCAATGGAATCCTGCTAGCCTAAATAATACAATGCGGCCCCAGAAAGACAAATGAATGCTGCCTAGCCTGCACGGAATCCCCAGCCATTCAAAACCCTCCTCTTTTGAGTTCGGGAGCAAAGATGTGTTGTGAGTTCAGGGAGCTGCTCCTTGGTCCTGCCGCACCTTTTCCATGAATGGGGCAATGGAGGAACTTCTCAGTAAATCAGTGTCTATATAAGGTGATCCACCCAGCCTGTGCTATGGTTCACAGCTATTTCAGATGTGTTAGGTAGGGGTCACATTCCACTAGGACATGAATTTCAGTGAAATAAATGGTAGCACTTGAAAGACTAACAAAATATGTAGATGGTGTCTTGAGCTTTCGTGGGCACAGCCTACTTCTTCAGATGACCGGAGTGCTGGAAGTTCAAAGCCAAGAATAAATAAGTCTCTAGCTTCCATCCCAGACACATTTCTCAATCTACCGTATACAGCCAAGCCCTAAAATACAACCAGATTTACTCCAATCCCACAGACAGAGACAAACATCTACAGGATCTACATAGAGCATTCATAAAACAAATACTCACCTGGTCAAGTGAAAAAAAAAAACCAGATCGACAGAGCCAAAAAAGTACCCAGAAATGAACTACTTCAAGACAGACCCAAAAGAGAAAACATCAGAATTCCACTTGTCATTACCTACAGTCCACAACTTAACCCCCTCCAACGCATTATCCACAATCTATCTTAGGAAATGACCCTCACTCTCAAAGGCCTTGGGGAAAGGTCTATTCTCGCTTACAAACAGCCCCCTAACGTGAAACAAATCCTTTCCAGTAACCACGCTACACAGCTACATCATAAGCATCCAGGAACCAACCTCTGCAATCAACCCCGGTGCCAACTCTGCCCACACATCTATACAAGCAATTTCATCAGTGGATCCAACTATATCGGCCATCAAATCAGAGGCTCATTTAACTGCACATCCAGTAATGTGATCTATGCCATCAAATGCCAACAATGCTCAATTGCAATATATATTGGACAAACTGGACAGTCTCTATGGGAAAGAATTAATGGACACAAATCAGATAAAAAAGGCAACACACAAAAACCTGTCGGGGAACACTTTAACCTCCCGGGACACTCATTAAAGGACCTACAAGTTGCTGTTTTGTTTCAGACTAATTCCACAAGCCAAATACACAGGGAAGGATTGGAACTCCACTTCATTATCAAGTTTAACTCTCATGCAAATGGTCTAAATCACGATATCGGATGGCTTGCACATTATAAACCAACCAATGAAGGTGCCAGTGGTTCTTGATGTCTGTGTAGAATCTGGTGTTAGTACTCTTCCTTTCCTAGTGCAAACTAATGGTTCTTATCAGCCTCTTTTAACTATTAATCTAATAGCACCTTAAAGACTAATTTGTTCTTTTCTAAGTTTTTCCTGTTACAGACTGGCTATCCCTGTTTTTCCTGTTACAGGCTATCCCTTTGAAACTTATCTACCCAATGTCCCTCTTCCCCCACCCCCCGCTCCAAT